TTCTGTAGTTTTCCAAGAATAACGGCAGATAAGAGTGCGCAGACTTGGAGACGCGCCTCACGTCTACGCTCCAAGAATGGAGATTAAAGTTCCCACTATACGAATTCAAACCAACCATGAATTCATCATCATCTTTCAACAATTCCGACAAATCAATCCGATAAAAGACCAGAGCACCAACAGATTCAAAGCTTTCTGATTTGCTTAACGTGACTTCTAAGAACTTGCCACCACCTAAGTAATTGATCAAAACGTACAATAACAAATCCTCTTTCTTCTTCTTCTCCTCCTCCAAGTTTACAATCGTGAAATTTCTAATCTTTTCAAGAACCGTAGTACCATTGACAATCACCGCGACATTCGAATCAGAAGTATCGAGCATAACCTCGAATAAAGACTGATCAATTGTTCCATTAACAGGAAACACGACAAATCCGAGTTTCCCACTACTATTAGGAGACATAGAGAAAGAGAAGACAGTAGATAATCCTGCGGAATACTCGGTTTTGGTCTCGATGAACTCAAGGGGTTTCTTGTAGATGACTCGCCCACCACCATGACTCACGGAGTCATTCAGCTGAATCGAAGATCCACCGTCGACGAGCTTTGCATCGCCGTACAGAGCAACATCGTCGGACGCAAAGGTCGCATTTTTATCAGAACTTGTGAACGAGAAGGAGAGAGTTGTAGCTTCCGATATCGAGATTCTGGAGAACAGTGAGAGTAAAGCAAGGAGAAGGAGGAGTGACCTGGAGAGTGTGAAGCTCGCCATTAATGGAGCACGCTTTTGAGATGGATTATGGTGTTGGAGTCTAAATTGATTTCTAGGGTTTGAAATGAGAGATCAGATCTTTGTCATGGAGAGTAAAGTGGTGTGAAGGAAGAGAGAGAAAGAACATGTGAGAGTGATGGGTTAAGCACTTGGACAATGTGAAAGTGTTAAAGGTAGCAACTTTTGTCTCCTCGATTATGTGAAAATTTTACGAGTTTTTGCCCTTTTCTTTGTTGTTAAACCCCAAAAATGGTTAATACTTTCATTTTGATCCCCAATTACTCTAAAATAAAATGCATTTATTGTAATTTTATTTTTGGTCTAAATTAGGTTTCTATGTTTTCAACTTGTTTATCGGTGCGAAGGTAAAAACTACAAGGTAATTGTTTCCCATGGTTTTTTTATTTTATTTTTCATAAAAAATTTATGTTCAAGAATTGTTAGACGCTAATAACGTATTTAGATGCCGGTATTTCCAACTCCATTCCATTTTTACTCTATGGAGTTTTGAGACAAATTTGCTCTGATCCTATTCTATTTTCGATTTCAAAATAGAGTAAACTGTAGGTTTACTCCAAATATAGAGTAATCTAAGGGTATTTCTAACTCTACTCCATATCCTACTCTAAACTCTATTTTGGAGTAAAACCCTCTTCAACCCCACTCCATTTTCAACTCCAAAATAGAATAAACTCATTTCTTCTCTTTCTAATATGGAGTAATCTCATTCTCTACTACATTTTATACCTAATTGAACTTTTTATTTATAAAATGGTCCTTCAAATTTTAAATGATTTTATCTTAAAACATAAATAATTATTTTGGTGATGATTTTCTATTTGTTTGATATTATTTTTAGTTAAATCTTTACGAGTTTATCAAATCACAAGAATTTGCAACAAAATAATTAAAATATACTATAATATATGAAATTGTAATGTATGCGTAAGTTTTGTTGCTGAAAAATGTGTATGTATGTCTAAGTTAATACTCTTTACGTTTCACAAAAATATATTTTTTGAGTTTTTT